AATTACGACGCAGTGCGATTGCAATTGTGCAATTAATATTGAAATTGAAGCACACCTAATTAAAATCGGAGCACGTATTTTAATCGCATTTTACGCAATTTCGCTTCGTAGCCAGTCAATTTCAGGAAAATGGTACGTAAATTAGAGACTAAATAAAGAATAGTAAATGTGAGAGTTGTGTGCAACAACTGAGTGTCGCAGGCGTCCTGGGACGTTCTCTCTAGTGTAGGTTTACGTGAAGTGAATGTGTTTCTATCATTTTTTTTTTTTTAATATAGCGCTTAAATATAGCATACTTTCTTTGGCCATCGATTTTGTTCGAATTTTCGCGAATCAGGGCTAGGAGAAATGAAACGTTTATTGATAACGCGTGATCGATGGCCGTCCATGTGTGACGAAATTAGCTTCCGTGATTTATCTATTTATCTTTTATTCCATCTTTGCAAGTTATTTTTTATTTTGGCGGTTAGAAAGCTGCAGGCATTGCGCCCGAAGAAAGAAGAGGCTACGAGCCGAAGAAGTCCGGCAAATTGCCATAGAAGAGGGCTGCAACAAATGGCTCATCATCCTCTGGGTGAAAAATCCAGAGCACGGCAAGTCATTCTGGTTACTGTTTTGTCACTATGCTCGCTTTTAGTATTTTTGTAGTATGAAATATTTTTCCTTTTTTGGTTGGCGTCGACCCATCATATTTCCCGGCAACTCGCAACTTTTTTCATTAGTATTCTTCGAAGAATTAATTCACGGATTGTATCAAAGTTACGAAGTAATCAAGACTTCGCATTTGTTACATTTCAATATCGATATAGGTGGAATTAATGAAAGTCTTTGAACTTTTTCTAGATAAGTTAAGTTAGATCTCCGAATAGGTATGATCTTTTTAAATTCGTAACTAATTAAGATAGATTTCTTGATCAGGTAGAGTTACAAATCAACATATGATTAATTAATAAGGAATTGATTAATATTACTAGAATATTTGAATAAGATATCATCGTAACTAAGTGGTGTAGCATATTCATAGCACGGTAGTTTAAAATTTAATTGAACTTTTACGTTTAGTTACGTTTAGGTTTAGGTGTGCAATTTCTTTGCACACGCACATTTACTAAATTCGTCCAGAGAATATTCTCCAATTTGCAGATAGAGTGTGCTGTATCACCACAATAATATCAGTCTTGATAAGGCCAGTTGCTTCAGATTTTATGCAAATGTTTTGGTTGCATTAGATTAAACTTTTTCCCCAGAATCATACTAAAGAATCATTAATACTGTTGAAAACAAAAAATATATTCTTTAGAGTACTTTGAGTCTCGCGTCTCGAGATCTCAGTTTTTACAGCGGCGCGTGTAATACATGAAATTTCCTTCGATCCTCGCGAACGTTCATCCGAATTTTAAATTATTCGAATTTCGATCACGCAAGCAAAAACTTACAAATCAACTGACACGCTACGACAATTCTCTCTTGCCACTGCCTCCTCGTTGCAGCACTCCTTTTCGATCGGCAATTCGAGTGATTTATCTATCCCCTGGATTAACATGCTTCATCTTATTCCACGATACATTTAAAAATGACACACAATTCCAAACTGCTAATGAAAGGCCATACATCCCGGCCTGAGCAAGCGCAGGGAATATTAGCGTCGATTTTTCAAGACAGCGCCTCGTAGCTGTGACCGTTCACTTTAGCTGGAACATCGGTGTCGCTTTTTGCTCGTTGCCTAATGATATCTTGCTTTAACATTCCGCTCACCGCGCGACGCGACGCGACGCGACGTCCCAACAAATAAGTAGGTATGGTGTAAGCGGCTCGCGAGTGCCTTGTAATCTTTAACGAGAGTCCATTTGAGACGAAAAATGAGATAAAGAGAGAGAGAGAGAGAGAGAGAGTTACTTAACTGAATAGAATGTCCTAACGTTGGATTCTTTCTCCCTCGAGAGAGAGAGAGAGAGAGAAAGAGAGGCGTCGCGAATCGACGGAGATCCAACGTTCCGACGGGATCGCACGTGCATCGCGTCGTGCAAACTCATGTAGGTTAAGAGTGCACGCTCGTGTGCAATATAGAACAGAACTCGTACAAGCCGCGAGTGCAAGTTACGGTAGGTAAGTACCGTTCGCCGAGACGACAGTTGCCGTGCAGGTGTATGGAATCGCGTACACGTTGCGCGCGTATCTCGCCTCTGAACTTCCTCGTCCCAGTGAAAAGTTTCGCTTCTTATCGAGCTCCGGCTCGGCCATTACCGCGCGCATCAGATACACGCAGATTCATCTTTCCGGTGGCCGTGCGGCGGATTCTTGTTTGTATAATTACTCTGAGAAATTAGGTTCCGGCAGTTGAATTGGATTTAACGATTGAACGTAAAGCGAAAATTTCATTGTCAATTGTATATTCATCGAGCGGAGGTGTTTCATTTCTTTCGTTGTCGACGAATTGCGTAAGCGTTTCGAGAGAAAACGCCAAGGAAAACCAACAAAGATGGAATGGGTTTACGATTTCAATGCGAAATCTAAGGGTCTACACGAAGAAGAAATTACATGCCTCAATCATCGCACCAGGAATCTGCTCGCCGTAAGCTTATTAGACAGCGCAGAAAGAAAAGGCATAATCCGATAGATGTACAGACACACATACAGATTATCCACGTAACGAGAATCTGCTATTACTGTCGCGTAATACAATCACACTTTCAACGTTCTACAAAACTGTTAAAATTTTGAAGCGACCGCTTCGATCCTTGGTACTTTGCCAACTTTAATTTCAGAAATACAATCGGTAACAGGCAGCGACTTGTAACTTCGCTTCAATTCAAGAAAAGAAAAGAAAGAAAAGCTTTCGATTCCCTGAATCCCTACCTGCGTGCTCCACGCTACGTCGAAACTGTCGGAGCGTCGACGACAGCAACACACCGGATCCAAGCTGCAACCCGTGGCAGATCAGTTGCACAAGAATCGCGACTAATGCGATCACGCGGCCCCAGCCACCCTCAGGATAATAATGCCTCTTGAGGGTGATTTTCTTGCGAGCATTCGCCGCGGTGAGAGACTCGTCACCTTCCTCCGGCTGCTGCAGCAGATCCTCGTAATCGGGAATGCTGCCCAGTCCACCTTCGAGGATCAGTTGCTCGGAGAATCGTCTCCTCATCATTTTCGGCGTGATGCTCGCGCTGCTCCTTCGACGTTCGTTCGACGCTGCGTCTCTCAGACACTCGTCCTTCTTCCTTTTTTTTTGCCCTGACGTCACCGATCCGACGTCAATGTTTCTCTGGGGCGACGTTTCTTTCAGCGGATCGGTCTCGCGACTCTGGTTGCGCAACCGCGACCAAGACTGGCTAATTCCGGCGGCCTTCTCCGGGAAAAAGCGCGGACAGGTTCTCGTGACGATCGGCCTGTTGGTGGCAACCGGCTCGTCGCAGCCGCTGCCGCTGTTTCTTCTGACGCGCTCGATCGAGCTTCTAGCGAGCGTTTGTTCAGAGAATCGGCGATTATCCGCGCGGCCGATCTTACAGCCGCGTGGCGATTGCGTTTGATCCGAGTGCCGACGTTGGATCACCTCGCCGACGAGGCGAGTCTCCAAGCGACCCTCCTCCTTCATCTCGTGGCACAGACTGACGACGGAGTTCCTGCCGGAAGAAGGCGGAAGGATACTCTGGCAGGTGGACACCGAATAACTGGAGTCCTTTCTTTTGAAACTCGATTGAAGGAACGTGTGATCTCGGCTCGAACAACTGGAGAACTTGCGACGATGGTACTGACACTGACTGCATCGGCACTGGCAACGACACTGACACTGACAATCGGACGAGATCGACAGCTTCGCCGCGAGAAAGCAACGACACCTGGCCAATCTGCCCCATAATTCCGGATGCGACGTGAACATCTCTGGCATCTCGATGCTCTCGTTCCAAGACCTGCTGGTGTCCGTCGACGGAGTTCTAGCCAGCTCGCGTTTCAACACGGAACTTTCTGTGGACCAACACTCTGACTCTAGGCTGCAATTGTCCGGTAATTTTGACACCTTCTGAACCACCAACTGCTGACATTTTACTGAAGTGTCCGCGCGACGACTGCTTTCGGAAGATTCGTCGGCAGTCGGCTTCTCGTTGATCATCGCGGCGCTGTAAGAGTCGCGGCGCCTGCGATACGTATCGCTGTTCGAAGAACTGTTCGACGAACTAATCCCTGCGTCCATATCGAGAGCGGATTTTTGTCGCGATGGAAATTACGAAGGCGGTGATCGATAAATCGCGTGCTCTAGCGTATATTATACGATACTTGTTGCAGCAGGTACTACCCTCTTCGAAGAAGATCACTTCGGGCGGGATTCGTACGTCGATTTTTATGTTCTCCGAAGATCTAATCTTGGGACGAGATCGACAGCGAGGAAATCTGACTGACAAATGGTTCGTTTACTTGGATTATCTTGGACGAATTTTAACGTTTCCTTGTCTCTTCTGTTTCTTCTTGTTTATAAACGATTTCGAAAGTTACACGCCACAAATTTTTTAACGAATAGAAAACTTGCTCGTTCGACCAGTTCATCAAGCGTAGAAAGAACACGATTTCGATCGACTCTGTCACGGTTAGGGGCAAGAGACCACGACGAGTTCTTGTTCTCCGAGCGTTTCACGTTTCACGTTTCATTTCACGATCGTCTCGCGGACACGGACCATTTCGAACTGGCCCACGTGTTCGCACGTAAGGTTATGTTTTTACCTGTCGAGAGCGAGGAAATTAATGCTCGTCCCTCGAAAGGAGGTTCATCGGTCCTTCGCCAGTGCATCGCGATGCCTCGCACGCGTGAAACAAGTACGTGAGACTCTGGCGACGCGTCCGGACTGTCGATACAACGTCCTAATTTTTCTCTCCTCTGACTGCGAAGAGAGTCAGTTGCTACACGGTCTCGCGTCGGATAAATTAAACAGGCCCCGCCATCGCCGTTACACGCGATCGTTTGCAACGATCGGAACACACACTCGCTGCACGGCCCTCGATCTCGCTTTCTACGCTGGTTTTCAGAAAATACTGTAAGAATTCGTTTCCCGTTCTTCTTCCTTACTTTTATTCTCTTCTCTTCTCTTCCCCCGGCTGATTTCATTGCTGACCAGTACTCGCGCAATCGGACACGTAATCTCACCGCCTGAAATACCGCACGTACACGAATGTATGTCGTTAACGAAGCGAAACGTTTCATTTGCATGCGCCGCAGAATCGAGAAACCTGAAAAACGGAGCTACAATATATATATATATATATATTTTTTTTTTTTTTCACGATACGAGAATCGTCTTGAGTAAGCTGATACGACGGTGTCTCGTATCTTCGTTTCGGAGTAGAGTGTCGAGAGATAAGTTGATTACACGGTCGAATTATTGGCCACTGGCGGCAATTCATTGCGCGAATCTCCGATAGTGGGACCACTATATACTGCTGAGCCAGCCAGTTGGTATTTAAATGGATCTCGAGAGAAAAGAACGCGCGCGCGAGAACAAACGATCGTTCGTAATAGTTGATTCATGATTATTAAAACGGGGTTTCGGGAACGGTTGATTGGACCGACGAGAGGTGTTTATACCATCGTTGTTCGTCTCTTAGCTCGAGTATTTTATAAAAGGTACTTAGAGTCCCTGTTTCGTTTCATTCGAACGTATGGAGATTCGTGCACGGCTCTCGAGCAAAAGATCGCAACCTTTATGAATTTCAACTCGAAGCTCGTTTCGACCCGTGTCGGAAACACGACTGGATCTTTTCGAATTTTAACTCCGAACCATGCTCGACGATGCTTCGACAGGATTTCGAGCCAACGAAGACGTGACTCAACGTAAAAAACTGAAATTGCCCAGGAACGCGAGGAACAACGTAACCAGTTCGAACAGCGAGCACCTGTCGGCATTCCTTATCGCGAACGCCTCAAAGGATAATTTCGCATCTCTCGAAAGAGAGAGAGAGAGAGAGAGAGAGCCTATGCCCGCGTGTACATAACGATCAGCTGCGTTCATTGGCGCCGACTCGGATCGTGACAAAAAAAAAAGAAAGGAAAGAAACAATCGTGTAAAAACCATTTGATTTATGGACGTATCTCGGAACAAGGTTTCCACTTAGCGCAATCAACCGATTACCCGGCTCCCGAATTCACGCGGTTCAGACTCGATTCCAATTTCCGATGAGGATAAACGATTCGATCAATCTTGACACTGTTTCTTCAAAAGAAAAAGTGGTAGAAACAAACACGTAAAAAGCGTGCACGACGGGAACGAAACCCAAACTAACGATAAGACGACTGACGCTGCGATCGACTACAAATTACTTTGACTACGAAAGACGAATATGTACGCCCTCTAAAATTTTTCTTACTATAACACATTTACTAAACTGACTGGTGGCGTAAGAATATCAAACATTCTGTTGGATGTTCCAGTTTAATGTTTACTGGATTTTAGAAGTATAATACTGACAAGAGCAGTGAGATGTTCATTATTGCAGATAATAATTTGATAGATCTTGATAGTGATAGCGAGATTGCAGCGTTTCCTGTATGAAAACAATTAGTCATTGAAGACGATGACGATGACGAACACGATATCATCCATCAATCACGCAAGCAATGGATTTGGCGAGTGGAGAATAATAAACCACTGATCTGGAACTATACAGAGACACCTGGTATAAAAGTAGAAGTATCAGGTCGATTAGATAAAAGCCACAAAGAGTTAAACGTTTTTAATATAATACTTGACAATGCGAGGCGTGTACGATCGAACAAATTCGATCGAGCTCATGGGCACGTAACTTACAGGGCTCAACACGGCCCTGGCTGACCGGCAATTTTACGCAGAAGTTATCTCATGTCACCAGATATTATTTCGTAATTGAGTATGAAAGTGAAACAATCGAAATCAACTTTCATAACTGTCTTCCGATGAACTATAAATTTCCATATCACTGCGATATATTACAAAATCACTCGGACAATCAGATAAAGCGTCTGCATATAATTCACTCAAAAGTTCTGCACGTTCCGTCACGATCCGTCATGACTGGAATTTTTACGATAAAAATATCAATAAAAGTTAGTTGTTTTTTTTTTTTACAATAAAACGAACACGGTTGAACACGACGAAAAGGAAGATCTCGCGTTAACCTGAGTGTGAAAAATTAAAATACCTAATGCAAATAGTTAACTCGTGAATGGTCAACAATATGTTGACAGCCAGTCGCAGCGATTGACATGCGAATCTCGATGGTTTCGAATACCTCTGAACTGAAACGATCAAATTCAGCAAATATCGGCAAGCATGGTTGAACGCAGGTGTTGTGAACATGTATCATCGATCGAAATTCAACTGGGCTGGCCACGTGGTTTTTCTCACCTACCTGGCCGAGGAGAAGAGATATCCTACCTGCGCTGTGAAGGGCGGGCTGATGGAACTTCAGCTGAGCTGTTAGGTGCCAGCTGCCAGGCGCCGCGAGCTGCAAACCGATGCTGAGGAAATGAACGAGCGTCGAACAGGTCACGATCACGTAGCCCCAGCCTCCCTCCGGATAGTAATGCCTCCTCAGGGTGGCCTCCTTTCTCACGTCGTTGCACGCCGGATTCCCGTTCCTCTTACGCGCGTTCCTCTCCCTCTCCTTGTTCTTGGCGCCTCCAATTAGACCAGTCGTCCGTAGTCTACGCCAGCTGTTCCTCGTTTTGCCCTCCGTCGGCGAATATTTACGGACCGTTTCCGGCTGTTCGTCCTGACGCCGGCCGGCCATGCTCTTCCTGTTCGAGACCGGCGAACGAAACGGATCCACGCGTTCCAGAAGCTGGCCCTCCGACGTGCATTTCGGACAAGCGTGCTGCGTTTGCCTGTCCCTCGTTATGTCGTCGTAGTCGACTATTTCGATTTGAGGGGTCAGCGTCTTTCTCCGGATGGCCTCGTGGCGCGATAGGTGCGTTTCGTTCCCAACTGTTCGGCGTCTGTTCGGCGTCTCGATGTTCACGATGGTTTCCAGAGGCAGAGGATCCTCGTGTTTCAACACCGTGTTGTTCGCCCCGGACGATTCTTCCCGAGTGTTTTCGTTTCGTCTGGCAGAGGATTGGAAAGGTCGGTCGATGGATTCCAATTCGAAGTTTGACTTGTCGGTATCTCCGTTTCTACGGCGATGCGGCATCGAGTTACGTTCCTCGTCAGTCAGACAGAAGCCCGATTTCGTCGTTTCGGATATATCTGTGCCGTCTCGGCGAGGCTCCTCGGCAGTTTCGTCGGATGAGGGAACCGAGGACAATTTCGACTCGATTTTACGATTCTTCTCGTCCCTTGCCCCATCCTCGACGACAGTTTTTCCGGAACTTTTATTCATAACGTCAGGTAGCAGGGCGCGTAGTTCGAAAGTTTCCCCTAATTCACCGCGGCCGTTCGACTCGATGCGCCTGGTGTCGCCTACGAACCGTCGTTTCGTCTCGACGCGTCCATGATCTACGAATATGATCTGGTCGATCCATTCGGTGTCGAGTAACGGACAGGGGTGCAAGCCCTCGACGCGAATCGTCGGGATGATCGTGAAGGCGCGCGACAACGGATCCACGCGCACTTTCACCGTCTGTGGCGCCCGATCCGGCCACGAGCTGCTGTGTCTCATGTTCTTCCGGTCCTCCTCGCGCACTGTCATCTCCCCTCGAACGGTCCCTCATCGAATCGTCTACGAATCCAGTGTCAACGTAATTCGATCGATCGACGACACGACGACCAACGCGTGAACAGAGATCTTTGTTCCACGATAATCGAGCTTGACCGTGCAGATCCCAGCTTCCTCTTCATTGATCAGTGACCCAATCCGCGAGAAAATAGTCAAAGAGATTGCCTCGTCGTGCACAGATTCCCATCGGGGGCCGTTGTTGTCTGAGCACTGACGATTCTCGCGAAACGACTGCATTTTTCAACGCGCTGTTTCACTGTGCTTGAACTTTCAAAGTCGAAACAGCAGCACACGAGGACGGTGATGGAGCTTCGGATAGATAAATTACGAGGAACTCACGGAAGACACGAGTCAGTCGGTTCGAGCGTCAGTGATAAAAAAGATTGTTTGAAAAGGAAGAAGCAATCCTGGCGAGTGCGCCAGGATGACTGTTACGCACGTGCTGCTCACTTGCGAGCAACCCTCTCCTCTCTCTCCCTCTCCTTGGCTCTGACTGTCTCCCTCTTCCCAATGATGGGCGCATGCTTGCGATATTCGACGAATCGCGAGGCCACCGTTTTCACCGACGTGGTTCTTTTCCACGACGCGCAGTTAGCCACGAATTTCGAATGGTCGCGTGCTAATGAGAAGCGACAAAAGCACTTTTCTCGGCGTCTTCACCCTCTTCAGTCTCTTCGCCGCGACAATCTCCATTTCCTTTTGTTTTCATGCTGTTTAAGATTTCCAGCGAAATCCAGTGAAATCGGCGATCCTGAAATTTGCGAAGCGTCTTTCATCTATTGTTATCTGACATCTTTGTACAGATTTTAATGTACTTCCGGTTGCTTGACGAATTTCGTCGAAGCGCGTTTGAATCAAGGTACATAGGTTTGCGATCTACGAGAGATGTCCGGTTATTGAGAATGATTGATTTGATACGGCTGAGCAAGTTAACGACTGGAAAATAAAGATACACGATAAGAAATAATTAGTCGAGGTTTCGAATTAATATCGTCGTTATCGTGAAAATGATACTTTTTCCTGAGAAAAAATTCGAAAGTATTCGAAAAACATTGTAATCCTTCTTGCCTAGAAATTCGACCGGACTAACTTTACTTTCTCGGTGAAGTTGCAAATACAATTCGAATTCCAATCCGAATTGCAAATATAATTCTCTTATAATCTCTGACACTTTATAGATGAAAATGAGGAGAAAATTTTACACTAGATGGATCTATAAAATATAGGTAATTTCTTGCCAGGGATAGTAGTATTCTTGATTATTTTTTGTTTTCTTTGAACTTTCGATACTTTATGAATGGAAATAAAAAGAGAATGTCACACCAGGCACATTTGTAAAATACAGATAACTGATGGTGCGTGAAAGTTTCAATTATTGGAATATTACAACATGGAGCCGGTTTAATGAAATCTATAAATCTTTCATTTCGTAGCTTGCAATCAGAAATAATCAGAGGAGGTGAATTTCTGAAAAATGTTTGAAACGTTTTCTGGAATGTTTAAATGTTGGAGCATTTTGGACGCGAAACAATTAAATCCGCGGCGTAGGAAAAAATCGAAAACGCTGCTTTTCGATCGATCGATGCAGAAAAGAAAAGAAAAAAGGGGAGGGGGGGGAAGTGGATCGAAACCAGACGACAAATCACTGGAAATCAATCGGCGGCGAAGACGAACGATCGATGAAGGTTAGCGGAAGCCAAGGTTTCGATGCACTGACCTACCGCGTGAGGATGCGCGGCTTATTGGACGTGTCTACGAAGCGTGCGGCACGAGGCGAGAGGACAATGAGTTACGAGAGGGAATGGCGTTGGTCGGTAAATGAAGCGAAAGAGGGCGAAGGCGTCGAGAAGACACAGAGGTTCGCCCTCGACCATCGAGCGACCTGGATTTTTAGGGAAGTGAAGTCGTAAAAATGCGCTCGCTCGGCAGAAGATTGGCCGCGATGATGTTGTCATTGAAGAGATCGACTGACAAGGTTTGTCGATGATTTCCAACGTTTGATACGGTTTCCCGGTTCTCTGGCGCGCCGCGCCACGAACTTGGCGACCTCGACTAATTGGAATTCTTAACGAACCTTATTGCGATGCGAGATGTTTTTACGAATACGAAGATTCTTAATCGCGTGCAGTCGTCCGACGTTTAATTAAAGTTTAAATTTTCACGTAATTCGGAGGCGTTTGTTTAACTTCAAGTTCGACTAGCTTCGCAGAAGATTTTCTCAAACATGTGGCAGACGTGAGCATCTAAAAAGAGAAAAAATTGAACGATAATGACTGATTTTCAAATACCCTAACGTATCTTGTGTTAACTTTTTGGCTAATCCTGCGCTCAAAGTTCAAGAACCGTGGAGACACGAACGTAACAAAGGTGCAATAATCTCTGATTGTGAACACTAGTCGTGTAAATGTAGCTGAAGTGATACGACATATAATTCCGCTCCTATTTAGCGCAAGAGATTGTGATTAACTGGTTGACTCTGGAGATAGACAAACGTAGCAAGGGCGAATCTCTGAGAATAGCTAGAATCATACAACATGTAATATGCGCTCCTATTTAGCGCTAGAGATATTGTGATTAAGTGTGGTACTTCAATAAATCGCGTGACTCGTTCTCGCCATTCAACGCATCTTTCCCTTTAACGAAGCACGTATTTCATATTCCAACGTCCTATATTCTCTCTAAACCTGTTAAAACATAATTACATGTAATAAGGCTTGCATTG